GTATACAACACATGAGTAAAGTCATGTGCGCAACGTTGCAGGGGATGGATCAACGATTGAGCGCTCTTGACTCCCGAGGGGGGAAGTGAGGCGTAGGCAAGCGCGATGCACACTATAACCTGCCACTAAAGTTCCAGCCGACAAAAAAAAAAAAAAAAAAAAAAAAGAGGTGGTTAGAAAAGACAACATTTGTTTATTTTTCTTAGTGGAAGGCATGGCATCCCTTGGGCTGGATGGTGTGGTGGGAATGGGGCTCCTGGAGCTGGAGGAACACTGGGGACCTTCGAAGGGTGGCCTCAGACCCAGCACCCCCACCCCTACTTTGAACTTACCCTTTCGCTATTTCGAATCTGGCGATCCCAAATGTCGATCGTTTGGGGAAAAAAAAAAAAAACGGATGCAAATAAAAGTTGAGAACTGAGATCCCAGAGAAGAGACCATGGCTTTTGCTCGTGAACTCAGCTCTGTAATTCCCATGTTTCTCCTTCTGACCCCAATTTTTCCCCCCCATTAAGAGGCGTTGTTGCTTCCTTTGTCAAATGGTAATCTCTATCACAGGATGTTGGTGTGAGAGTAGGCATAGATTCTACATGCTATGTATGCTGTCCCTTTCCTTTTTTTTTTTTTTTTTTTTTTGTTTATGGCTGAAATGGCTAATTTTCCCTGAGAATGCACATGGCCTCAGAGTCTTCCCGACACCGTACTCCAAGACGTCAGTGTGAGCGTGTGAATCGAAACATGTTTACTCTCCCGGTCCTGCAGTGGCAAAACCTCAAACCTGAAAGCTAAGCACAGAAAAGGTGTTTGAACAAAATGACCCTGTGAGGGCTACAGAAAAATCGTCGTGTCACGTGACAGCAATCAATTTGACTTGAGATAGCAGTTAATAAAAATCCTTTTTCAAATAGAGACTTGTTAATAGAAGAATGGCTAATAAGGACTAACATTGTTGAGTGCCTACTTGTGCCAGGCAAGGTTCTGTTCAATTTACAATGAATAAATTCACTGGATCTTCTCAACAGTCCTTTGAATAAAAAGACAGACCTCATCCTAAAATGGTATGGATTCTGAGGACACTAGAACGGTCCTGGTCTATCTGTGATTTTCCTTTAAAAATGAAATGGTAGCTTTTAGTATTTGCATATTAATTTTATTTTAGGAAAATTCATTTTGTTCTGACTAGGGGATGAATTATGAAGAGATAGTCAGCTCTTGGTATCGGCGAATTTAACATTTGGTATTTGGGCCTTTCGAAAATAGTTTTTTTTTTTTTTTTTTTTGAGACAGAGTCTCGCTTTCTTGCCCAGGCTAGAGTGAGTGCCGTGGCGTCAGCCTAGCTCACAGCAACCTCAAACTCCTGGGCTCAAGCAATCCTCCTGCCTCAGCCTCCCGAGTTGCTGGGACTACAGGCACGAGCCACCACGCCCGGCTAATTTCATATATATATATATTAGTTGGCCAATTAATTTCTTTCTATTTTTATAGTAGAGACGGGGTCTCGCTCTTGCTCAGGCTGGTTTTGAACTCCTGACCTTGAGCAATCCGCCCGCCTCGGCCTCCCAGAGTGCTAGGATTACAAGCGTGAGCCACCGCGCCCGGCCTCGAAAATAGTTTTTGTGAGTCACCTTACAGGCTCGTGATATAAAATAATTTTTAATTTTGTTGAGTTATGCAATTGCGAATTCTGTGTGCTAAGGCCATAGTGTCCGGTGTGAGTTATGTGAGTCGAAAATGAGCTTAGGAAGCTAGCTACCTAGCACTCACTTTTTATGTCAGCGTTATTGTTCTTTGCTTATAATCACAAGTATGTTTAATGGCAAAACCACTCGCTATTCAAGAACTTGGTCATATTCAAGTGTCTTGGGTAATAGCGGGAGTTGATATCAGCCAGTGTGCACTGGTACAGTTGTGCGGTGATTAAAAGTATATTGTAACATGTTCGTACTCGTTAAGATATTAAAATAATTTATACTGGTTGGCACTGCTACATACATTCAGTATAGCTGTTACCCAAAATGTCTTTTCTCTGTCAACTACTACCTTATAAGAGATGCCAGATAAAACACAGGGTAACCCTTTAACATTTTAACCTCAGGTAAATTATGTATAATGTTTTAGTTTATCCCATGCAACAGTTGGTACCTGCTTATGCAAAAATTATTTGAAGTCTAACCGAAATTCAAATTTAACCAAGCATCTTGTATCTTCGTTTGCGAAATTTGACAGCTCTGTTCTACTAGAAACCCAGACCTGTTCACAATCCAGAAAAGTTCTGGACTCAGGGCCCAGGCCGGTCTAATATCTGTTCTGAATAGTTGGTGCACTTGTACAAATCATTACATATTTTAATATAATGTCCCGTCATGGCTATAACAAATGTCAAGGATCTAGTAGTACATTATCACATGCTTTCTGAAATTTGCTAAGAACACCATTATTTACTCATTTTCTTATATATTTAACTTTTAAAATGTATGTCTTTAAAATCACTGGGTTTGTGTCTACACAAAGTCTTTATTTTCTTCCTAAAGGCATTTTAACGTCATGCAAAATTTAAGTCCAGTGCACCCTTTCTTTTAAGTAGATTTTTGCTAAGAGTTTACCTAAAAGAAATGACAAAAATCTACCTACAAAGTAACCCGACTGCTACACATATTCAGTATACCGTTTTTTGAAAGGTTTAAAGCTCTGTGGTCTCGTTGAAGTTCCTTGTTTGTATCATTTAGATTGGAGACCACTACTTTCCACCGAAGTCATTCTGTGCCGTTGAAATTGAGATACGACATGGGTTTATCCATCTTGATATAATACCTAAACTAAACCGTAACTGCAAGTAAATCTTGCCATATACAGAGAATGTTTATCTGAAAAATGTTCTGGGAACATAAACATAAATATTTAAATTTTAAAGCAATCATGCCTTTAATGTTTGTCCCCTAAAGTACATTTTGTGGGTTACTATTATGAAAGAATTATATCTGTTTGCAGAAGAAAATGTTCTCATCGTCGGGAAAAGGGTGGGTTAAACTCAGCTAATCAGGTTTCTTTTCAGTTGGATTTTTTTTTTTTTTAGAGACTTTACTATGTGCAATTATGAATCTTCAGAGAAAATCTCTGCAGATTTTGTATGTACATGCATGTTAAATATGTTAAGCATGTGTTTCTCGTTATCTGTATGTGTGGAGATACACATTTTCTAAACTTGTTTTAGCGAGTCTTTTCTTTACAAAGCCAGGCTTTCACACGTTGCTGAAAATTCTTCTTTTGCAAGTCAGAAGCCTGGTATCAATTCACACTTCTTTTCTCTCTGTATTCATTCTGCAATGACTCCTGACCTCCCTCAGCCTGACCATGTCAGTCTTGGACTCCAGCAAGGGTTACGCGCTCGAATAAAGCAAAACAGAAACGCATTGGAATGATTTTCAAAATATTATGTTCAACGCAATACCCTAGTTCTTTTTATTCTACTATTAGAGATGCTTTATCTTTGCTTGGAGTAGCTGATAGCTACTATGGGAAGTTTTATGAACTTGCATAAATGGCTTAAGACGTCTATGCTATTTCTTTAAATAGAAAATGAGCATAATGATGCCTGAATTATGTCTTCATTAAGGCAGTTGTCTGTACGTGTTGAGGTTAAGGTGAGAGAAGATTCCTCACGACAATGCATTTGAAAGTCCTTTCTAAAAAAAAGAAAACAACAACAACAACACTCAAAGTTGCCGTATAATGATGGCTCTTCAGTTAACAATGGCTCCTCTGCACTCCAGCTTTTAGTTTTCTGATTTTTTTTTTCCAGACTTGCTATTCGTAGAGCTATTCTATACCAAAGACATGAAACTATTAAGAGATACTAAAAAGAAAGGAAAGGTATTATCTTTTGAAATAGATAACCATGTGGTTTGTAAATAAACCCTTTCCTATGATGGATTTCTTGAAGGTGTGTGCCATGCAACCTCAAACTCCCCAACCTTTGCAAACCAAGTCTGTATTATAGATGCCATCCATGGGGCAATGAAGGAGAACTTCATTGGCAGAATTTTCCCTGGGTCTGATGTGTATTAATAGCAGGGGCTTTTAACCACTTGGGTACTGCGCTCACTGGCCCGAAACCTCGCCCACAGCCGGCACCCACAGTCCGCACGGTGGTCCGTGCTGTGCATGGACGGTGCGTCCGTCTTGCTCTTGTGTGACGAGGAGAGCTTGAAAGCGCTGAAAGGTTGTTTTGACTTTACAGGCAGCTTTCCTTGTCATGTAAATATCAGAATACGTAACATATACATATATGTTTTCATGACGTTATTTTTAAATGTTCACGATTTTATTTTGATAAACGAAAAATTAGAAAAGTCAATTCAAAATTATAGTTTTATTTCATCCCTATCATAAAGAAATAAGGCAAGTTTTTGAATATTACGATACGTTTTATTCTTTGGTATGATACATTTCGAAACATGGGGCCACACGTAGGCCAACATTGCATTGTGTACAATAGCACCTAGTACCACGCCTTTTATTATTTTTTGAGCATACGATACATATTCTTAATGGATCTTTCCTTTTTGTTTTATCACTATTGTAAGTTGCTAGAAAATGACTTTGTCTAAAACGCATGAGATTTTCTGATGCAGTACAAGGGTTGTATTGCCTCAACTCAGAGTACTGTTGTAGAAGTTTTGTTATTAACGCTATAGTCGACGCTCGGCTGTGCACCTTCATATCACGGCTGTTGTCTAAAGTCGCTGTGCGAGTTCATCTGTGGCTGTCGACTACAGTCCACGCCGGGCTGTGTGCGTCCATCTGTGGCTGTCGACTACAGTCCACGCCGGGCTGTGCGCGTCCATCTGTGGCTGTCAACTACAGTCCACGCTGGTGCCAAAGAGGTTAAGCGTGTTAGCCGTGTCATGCCGATGCTGTTCCATGACCACGGCCGGCACAGAATGACCGCAAGGCTGACCGGGTTGCTGGTGCTAACGCAATCTTCTGTCCTTTCTGTGCAGAGAGTGCAGCAGCCGCACGAGTGCCCGTCCTGCGGTGGCTTTGGCTTCCTGCCCTGCGCCGTGTGCCACGGGAGCAAGATGTCCGTGTTCCGAAACTGCTTCACAGACTCTTTCAAAGCCCTGAAGTGCACGGCTTGCAACGAGAATGGCCTTCAGCGCTGTAAGAACTGCACCGGTTAGTCGCAGCTTCTCCCCAGCAAAAAAAAAAAAAAAAAAAAAAAAAAAGCCTTATTTTATGAACAAAAAAGGTAATAACCTGGTTTATACTTTTCTTTTTTTTTTTTTAAAAAAAACATGGTCATGTTTATGGATTAATCAATAAACTTCGTTTATTATAATTGCCTTTGTTTTGAATTTTTTTTTCTGTGACCATTTTCATTGGCTTGTTGCAGAAAGGTTTATTTAACGAGTGCTTAGGAGCCCAACCTGGTGCCCAGAGCCTGGCTTCTAAGTGCAATTGAGGGAGTGGCCCAATACCATTTCAAGATATCCAAAGTCTGATTCCCTACATGTGTGTGATTTTCCTAAAGAAAAGAATCGAATCTATCCAGTGGGACCTACTGCAACCTCAGCCGATTGTCTAAGATGAGTCAGTACAACTCCCTAGCAGCCTAACAAACCTGCATTTCTGGGGCACACCGTGCTGGACCGGAGACTCAGTTATTCTGGAAGACACGTTGCCCTGTGTTCAGCTTCTTCAATTAGAAAGAGACAGTCTCATTGAACACGAGGTTATTGCAGTGGGTTCTGATGAAGAAGCACTCTCTGGCCGGGCGCGGTGGCTCACGCCTGTCATGCTAGCACTCTGGGAGGCCGAGGCAGGAGGATCGCTCGAGGTCAGGAGTTCAAAACAGTGGGAGCAAGAGCAAGACCCCATCTCTAGTATAAATAGGAAGAAATTAATTGGCCAAGTAATATATATAGAAACAAAAATTAGCCGGGCATGGTGGCGCATGCCTGTAGTCCCAGCTACTCGGGAGGCTGAGGCAGGAGGATCGCTTGAGCCCAGGAGTTTGAGGTTGCTGTGAGCTAGGCTGACGCCACGGCACTCACTCTAGCCTGGGCAACAAAGTGAGACTCTGTCTCAAAAAAAAAAAAAAAAAAAAAAAAAGATTGCTGACCTCTTTGGGAGTTCTTTGACAGGCTATGGTCATTCTAGTCCATCAAGAGAAAAATCTGTTTTCAACTGTGGGGAGGTATCTATGTTTCAAAGCACAGTTCCTAAAAGAATGAGCATTCGTTCTGATCTAGACTTTTGTCCTGGTCCAATTCTGAACTCTTTAAACTCTTTGATTAAACCTAACACAGAAGAGATGGGAAAATTTGAGACACGTGGTCTGGTGGCAAGGTGACTCTGAACTGGAATATAGCTTTTGCGGAAGAATGTGAGATGTCCCCAAAGCGTTGCTTATATGTAATAAAACTGGAGCTTAATCTTAATATGAATCGAAATCTAGAAAATCCACATTGATTCTCTGCCGTGTGCGCATGCCTCACTCAGCCTTCTGTGCCCTGAGGTTATCTTTTTTTTTTCTTTCTATGGTCTTGATCCTTTTCTCTCCACCACCTTGTTAGATAGATATCAATGTAAATGTTATCTGAGTACCCCAAATAGAGGTATGCAGAGAAGTGAGGAAGCAAAATCTACGAAATGGTGCTATGGTGCAGTGCCGATTTATTGTAATAAATAAAAGTTGGCTGGGCGCGGTGGCTCACGCCTGTAATCCTAGCTCTCTGGGAGGCCGAGGCGGGCGGATTGCTCGAGGTCAGGAGTTCGAAACCAGCCTGAGCAAGAGCAAGACCCCCCCCCCGTCTCTACTATAAATAGAAAGAA